TCCCCATATCCTTTTGTATTGTAGCTTTCCAGCTTGTCAGTCTGTTGACATGGACTGTCTTTAGTAACTGTACAGAAGCTACTACATGACCCTTTTTGGATGACAAGCAGATTAAAATGCCTTAAATCTATGAAAAGGCGAAAAGGAGGTGGAGAAAAGTTAAGTTCTGTACAAGCTGAAACGAAATATGGGAAATTATTGCTATTAAAAAAAAACCTTTGCTTACAGCTTCCCCAAGATTATCAAAAGTGCACCAGAGTATACTCTGACAAGCAGAGAACTTTTAAGAAAGTTTGTTACAAAATTTGCTGCTAGAGATAGTTTTATACCAGCTTCCATGACTTAAAATAATAATTTTTCCTAAACCAGCTCGCCTCACTACACATGTAATTCCCATCACTCCTAGCCCACATTGCTGGTTGGGATGATATATAATCAAACACATTTGCAGCTCTGGGGATGCATCCATTTAATTTTTATATCCCATCCTGCCTTGGCTGTACCAGATTATGTTTCCAAAACAAGGAAGGACCAAACAGTTATTTCCAGTTTTGGGAGAAAGGAAATGCTATTTCAACCCCCCTACCCATCTCCCACAACTACCTTAAAACTGTGAAAATTATTGGAGAGCAATTCTTTATGGGAGGGGGGTTAGTCCAGCAACTGAAAGGTTTATGGGGCACACAGGATGTACAACTCCCATCACTAGCACAGACCAACAGTGTTCATGTATAAGGCAAGAGGGCCCTGGTTTCTAAGAACAGAGTTTACAGCCTTTATGTTCCTCTTTGCATAACTCCTAGCAATCTCCAGTGAACACTCTAGAAGGATACAGTCTTCCAGATCCACCTCCTCAGACAGGTTCATCTTGCTGGTGATGGTGGAAAAGATTAATCGTTTTTGACGTCGATCCGGAAGAGGAAACTCAATTTTACGATCAAGGCGACCTGGTCGGAGCAGAGCAGGATCCAGGGTGTCTGCTCGATTTGTGGCCATTATTACCTGAGGTAGAAAAAGTCCCCAAAATGAAATCATGCTGTCTGTTTCTGAATTATCAAGTGTCAACTTGTCCCAACTTGAAAAATATTGTCTTCCAACAACTGCATCTCACTTCCCCTCCAGTAAATACAAGCAAAGCAACTTATGGTCAACTGAGGTAAACTGCAATTTCAAGTTTGATCAGCTGAGAAAATCCAGGACTTGAAACTCTATGGCAAGCTAGATCGTCTTGTAGGTTGAAAATTACTAAGGGTTGCCCCTTCTCATTAGTCAGTGCCAGCTAGCAGCTGGTGAGAGTTTTATGTGGACTGCTAACAAAACAGGGATATTTGAAACAAGCAGTTTGGGAAAATAAGGTTTTTTGGACTAAAATTCCCAGTATCTCCCAGGTAGTATGACTAGCTGGAAAATTCTGGGGGCTGTAGTTAAAAAACCCGAAACTCTCAATCTCTATAGAACCCTGCCTGTGATTAAGAACAACTTGCCTATAAATTCCCTTGGAAGGGGAAGATAATACCATAGAACAGGGGTCGGCAACTTCTTCTTACCTGGGGCCAGTCCGCTGGTCTCCAGGTCTTCCGTGGGTGGGGGGGGGGGGGGGGGGGGGGGGAATGGAACCACGCGAGCTCACGCATGCACGTGCGCATGCACAATACGCCGGAAATACTGCACATGCATGCACACACTTGCGTATGCGCAGTACTTCCGGCGTACTGCGCATGCGTGAGTGAGCAGCAGCCACCATTTTGGAAAACAAAATAGTGGCCACGATGCGCGTGGTGGCGACAGGACGGCGGTGGCAGGACCGGCCTGGGCCCAGTCCAAAGGCCTCGGGGAGCCGGATCTGGTCCCCGGGCTGTAGGTTGCTGACCCCTGCCATAGAAGTTTTGCACAAGGGAAAGAAGCAACACTCTCAATTTAAAGCATTTATCTCTGAGATTCATAGGCAATGTCCCTGCCAAATATAGATGTACCAAAATTGTGAAATTCAAATTGGAAAACAATGCTGATTTTACTACAGAACATAACAAGAAGGCAACCTGGGTGAGAAACACATTTCCAGCTGGATGCTGCTGTCTAGTATAGTGCAGTTAGTTCTGTGTTCTACACCTTGCCCTCTAGTACTGCTGCTGGTACTGAAACCAAAATCAGTCAGGCCAGCCATCTTTACTCCAAAGGGGGGGGGGGGAATGAATGCACAACCAAGCTCTAATTAGAGAATTTAAGGCTCAAGACTTTGCTCTGCTTTTCAGCTTCCCTCCATCAATGACTGTGGAGTTCTTTCTGAATGGAGAAAGCTTTCACATCCAGAGTGTGTGCAACAGAAAGCCATTTATCCTTATCCTTTGCCATTTCCTCTCCAGAATACTGCAACTCACCTTGACATTGACGTTCTGGTCGAAACCATCCATTTGATTGAGTAGCTCCAAGAGGATGCGTTGAACCTCCCTATCCGCTGCAGAAAGACCAACATGATCATCAGCTACACTCTGGAATACAGAGTGAGGCCTCACCTCCTTAACCAAACATGTGTGCATATTTAGGGATACTTTTCAGGAACACAATACCTGGCAGGCAAACAGAGCTTGGGAAAGCTATGTTTTGGACTACAGCTCCCAAATCCCACAATCAACCTAGCTAGTGGTCATGTTGTTTGGGAATTTTGGAAGCTGTAGTCCAAAATAGTAACTTTTCCAAGCTCTGAACACATCCTGAGAAGCTCAGCCTTTAATTTGTGCAGAAAGTTCATGTCCTTGTTATGACACAGTAAAAACAGCACAATTGTTAGTAGTGTGTTGTGAGAAGTTAGAAAAATCAGAGTGAAGCAAGTGGCTTGCAACAAAATATTCCCATATGCAATGGTACTGTTCCAGTTACTAGGGTCTAGATTTGCCTAATCCAGGGCTTGGACAACGTTTTGCCCTCTATGTGTTTTGAGCTTCAACTCCCTGAAGGCCCAGCCAACACAGTAAATAATAGGAGACAGCAGGCCATGTAGTCCAAAACATGGAATGCCAAAGGTTCCCCACACTTGCTCCATCCCATTCTATTCTTGTGGGTCTTCTTATCCACATTCTACAGCCACAGCATGCTCACTTCTCAGTGGATTGCTGGGTGGTGGTGTCCTACCCTCACTTTTTTTTTCATCTCTAAAGTTGTCTTGTACCTCAGTACATCCTAGGGTTCTACCAAATCTGCCCTCTTGTGTGGACTGTGGCTGCTTTGGTTACATAAGAAGTAATTGACAATGGATTTAATACTGTATTTGCATAGAGATCAATCAGAGCTTCTACTGATCAACAAATAAAGTAGGGGTAGGCAACCTAAGGCTCGGGGGCTGGATGCAGCCCCCTGAGGCCTTTGGACCGGCCCCAGGCCGGTCCTGCCGCCCCCGCCTCCCACCATGATGATACTGATTATTGTTGTTATTGTTCTTGGGGTTTTCTTGGCAAAATCTCCACAGGGGTTTTGCCATGGCTTTTCTGGGGCTGAGAGAGTGTGCATGCATATATTTTTTATTTATTTATGGTGCTTCGGCCCTCCAATTGTCTGAGGGACAGCAATCTGGCCCCCGGCTCAAAAAGGTTGCCTACCCCTGGAATAAAGTGTCAGTGTCCTACAAAGTCCCTTGTCTAAGTATAGAGCTTCCCAGAATTATAAGCTTGCCCTAACTTCATATGTTCCCTTTTCTTCTGTGCCCACTTGCCATCTTCTGTCTTGCTAAATAAATCCAGACTTTAAACTGAATGTCCAGAAAATGAAATATTCAGACAAAACATGCCCAAGTACGCAAGGCCTGATCTAGCCCTCTTCCCCCACAAGGCATAAACCCCACCTGGGCCAAACGTTGAGTTTGGCTGTCATAGTCCAACCATGGGAAAAGGGCTGCTCAGCCTAACAGACAAAAGAATTCTGGAAACCCAATGTTCCAACATATTCTTATGACACATAACAAGACGGCAGGAATTTCACCAACCTTCCTCAGCAGCCATGATGGTTGACCGCAATTAAGGTATACACAGTAAGCTTAGGATCCCTGAACCCATCTTTGCAGTCTAATGTAAATGGGCAAGGCAGGAAGAGTTGACATGTTTTGTCTTGTCCCTATTTTTCCATGTTAATACAGTCACCCGTCCACATTGGTGGGCTTGCCATCTACAGACTGAAGTCTTTGCAGATTTCACTGCCATATTCTCATCAATGGCTGTGCACCTGTTGCTCTGTCACTGACTACTATGGGACTCAAGGTCCTGCAGTATTTGGCATCTGGGGGGGGGGGCGTCCAGAATGGAACCCCTGCAGATACAAAGGGCCATCTGTATTTATTGCACTATTTTAGGTTGGCTGAAGAAAAAAACTCTCACAAGGTGGCTTACATAAATAGTACAATGTGTGCAATATGATTATCCAATGTATCATCCTCTCCCCTTTGAAGTGGTGTTGGACCACAACCTGCAGCAATGGCCATATTGACTGAGGATAGTGGGACTTGTAGGTCAGCACAGCTGGAAGGCAGCAAGGAAGGTTGCAATCTACAATAAGTACCACAAGTTCCAAGAGCCAGTGTGGTGTAGTGGTATGAGCAGTGGATTATGACTCTGGAAACCAGGGTTTGATTCCCTGCTTGGCCATGGAAAGCCACTGGGTGACCCTGAATGAGTTACACACTCTCAGCCCTGGAAAACTCCCATGACAGGTTCACTGAGTCACCATGAGTTGGAAATGACTTGAAGACACACAACCACCACCACAGTTTACAACTATAATTAAAACAGCAATGAGACCTAACAGGACTGCAACTAGGAAACATTATTTCTGGATTACAGCTACCAGAATCTAGCTGGCTGGGGACATCATGTTAGTTGGAGGGATCTGGGAGTTGTAGTCCAAACAATCATTTCCCAAGCTCTGCCAATATCATATCATTTCCTCGGCCCCCAAGATGGCACTCAGATAAGCAAAAGACCAGCTAGGGGACAGCAAATGAAGGGGTTAAGCACTGTAGCATGCCTTTCCAGCCAAATGCCCCACACATCCCAACCACTGAAGGGAATGAGCATGGACATTGGTATCCTGTATTTATTGCACAGGATACTGACGCTGCCCTATCAATGGAGTTCCTCCATTCCTTGCTGAATCTTTTATGGCTGCCCAGCAGACTCCCACCCCCCTGGCACCTTCTCTCTAGGCATCAACTCACCACCAGTCTGGGCATCAAAACGCTTGGTGGCAATGGCATCAATCTCATCAATGAAGATGATGGCAGGGGCATTCTCTTTGGCCAGGCGAAAGACATCTCTCACCATGCGTGGTCCCTCACCCAGGTACTTCTGCACAAACTCAGATCCCACTACCCGGATGAAGGCAGCTGAAAAGAAAGGCAGTGTTAGACCTCATTTTTCCAGGTACACCTCATCAATGGATCAGCTATTGCAATGAAGAAGCCATGACAAACATACAGAGTACCAGTGACACCTCTATTCAGCTTTAGGAGAAGCTGCAAGTGTGCTATGCATATGCAGTTGAGGAGGTTTTCTCACCATGATGTCAACAGAAGGAATTCTAGCTATGCAGAATTTTTAGAATACAACCCTCTTGCTACAACAGCTTAATTGGCTCCAGTCTGCTTCCAAGCACAATTCAAAGTGCTTGTTATGAACTTCAAAGCCCCACATGGCTTAGTCCAGACTATGTGACAGACTATCTCTGTGTGTGAGCCTTTCCAGACCCTGAGATCCTTGCGTGACCTGCTTCTCTCAGTCTCATGTCTTCACAGGCACAGTTGGGAGGGACATTAAATAAGAGCCTTCTTGGTAGCTACCCCTAGTTTTGGAATTCCCTTCTCAGGAAGGTCAGAATGGCCTCTTCCTTGCTTTACTTCCTTGAACAAGCAAATACATTTTTGTTCCAACAGGCTTTAAAGTCAGAAGTTTTTTTTTAAAGAAAGGGCTTTTAAGAGGTGCTGTGTTGTATTACTTGTACAATTTTAACTACTTATTTTTTAATTGCATGTTTTTAATTGTTTTAATATTAGTAATAGTCTAATTCTATTTTAATGTTGATATTTTCTATTTTTAGCTAGGTTGCATTTAATTCTAGGTTGCATTTAATTTCTAAGCCAAAGTAGTTTTGGAGCAATGATGAGGCATGAAAGATAACCACTACTACTCCAGCCTCCAAACTGGATGGGTATACACACACACACACACACACAACCTGTGGATAAGTCGAGGGTAAACTTAGGGGGCTATAAGGAAGGATGGAAAGGGGGAAATACCACTTCCCTCCCTCCTTCTCTGGATCTCTCCCGACCGATTCCCAGGGGCTGGAGGAGAGGTTTTAACATTGGATTGAGAAGGGAAGCAAGTGGATTTAAATGGAGAGGGTTTTTTTCCATAGGAAACAAGGACTTGCAAATGGAACTATCCCTTGATGAAAGGTAAGAATATAATCTGTCCAGGAACCACTAACACCTGCTCTACTCCCTCATCCATTTAGCTTTTAGTATGAGCACAAACATGCCTGCTAGAATCTTTTTTGCCATCATTTTCCTTTCCTTTATTCTTTAGATTCTTAGTTGCATGCCCCAAGTTTTACCTTCGACTAATCCACGGTCATATCAAAATCCATGATTTTGGCTCAAAAATTGCCCTCGACTTATACATGAGGTCAACTTATAGTTGAGTATATATGGCAACCATTTTGCATTTAGAAAATATTGTATTTTAAACTGATTTGCTTTTTTGGGGGGTTATTTTTTTTTTCTCATTACCTTTCCCCACAGAAACCTCTTTTATTGTGATCAATGCCCAAATCCAATCTTTGCTTCTGTGCCCCAAATGAAAATTGTCTTGCTACACCCCAGAATACAATACCGCAGTCACCCACCTGTGGTGTGATGAGCCACTGCTTTGGCCAGCATGGTCTTTCCACAGCCAGGAGGACCATACATGAGTACACCTCGTGGAGGGTCAATTCCAATCTGGAAGAACCACAAGGAGAGAGAACAACAATGAAAGAAGGTCATTTCTAGGGCTGTTACCACATCTCAGCTCATAGTACACACACTCCCAAAGACTGACACAACCTGTTGAAGTCATCCTCAAATTTTAAAGGCTATTCCAATGTTAAGACCACTTGAATACTAAATAAAGAGAGAGAAAGAGAGAGAGAGAGAGAGAGATCTTCAGAGAATACTAGAATGGAAGAGTGTGTGTGT